CAAATTCTTTTTGCACACAGTTTTGTCTACGGTGGCACCCCGGCGCACACGTTCTCTGTTATAGTGAGCAGAATTAGTCCACCAATCGGCTTTGGCTTTTACATAGCGAAGAATCATATTTTCAACTGGAGTCGGCAATCCAGGAACCTTGAACAAAACAATTTATTAAAGAAACAGATTTACTTCGTGAATTCCATTAACTTGCCTTCCAGGGGATGTTAGCCTTCCAACAACGCCATGCTTCACTTAGATGCTGCAGAATTACACGAGCCTTGTTCTGTTTGATTCCTTCGGGCATCATATCCAAAATATCGTGCATAACAGCAGCTCTAAAGCATGCAGTACATCGAAAGAATGTAACCAAGTTTTACCAAGAGTAACATCAAAGCCTCGTTTGTCGTAATATTTACTGTTCATAATGTTCGCATAATTACCAGCTACTGGCTGCTATATTGTGTCAAAAATGTTCGAGCGTGCTTTTTCTGCAAAAATGAAACCACAAAAGACAACGGACCTCAGCTCCAAATCGAAGTGGGATTCCACTCTTTGTTTTGTAACAGTTTTTGCAACGCCCTTTGAGTGTCGTCCCTCGAACTGCCTTGACAGCAAGTTTCCTAGCCATCGCTCCAAAAGCGGCGTTATTCCTCTCAAAAAGAATAACCAGACACGCCATCCAGGGGCCCAAAAGCCGCATCCTGGACCCTTGCCTGAAACAGACTTGCAACTTTTTTATTTACGACAGAGGCGGTTGCAAATGCCTAATTAATAAAACCCTTGAAACTAGAACAACAGCAAACATGGCAAACAGAAATCTGCTCCTGAAACTCACCAACAGCTCCAGTATTGAAGCGATAGTAAATGATATGCTTTAGATCTTTACACATTCGCACCTAAAACATTCGTTTGCTAAACAGTTCCACAACGTTTTACCAAAACACAGTACCTGTCTCATCAGTTTATACTTGTACCGGTACATTCCAGTTAACTGACCAACGTGCGCAAAAATGTACTGGAGTCCATCAGCGAGTTGATAAGCATCCACATTGTTAAGCCTTAGGAGAAAAAGGGCAATAATCACAAGACCTTGTTTTGTGTAAACAAGTCAGCTTGCTTAAATAAAGTAGGAGAAATACCTGTATTGTACATGTGCGTCAACCACAAGTTTCGCTAATCGCAAAATTTCACGACACAAGTGGAAAGCGTTACCGAATCGCGACTTTTTACGCTCCTTGGTCGTCAACGTTTTCACAGGCTGAAGGTCAGCACTTTAATCAACTACTAAAAGGGCATGATTTAAGAAAGGCAACCTTCAAGTTGAAGTTGTAATCCAAATGAAGATAATTGAGATTCTTTCGATGGATAAGGAGATTAAGCATATTGTAACCTTGCCGCAAGACCTAAAAAATGACAAAATAAAAAAAGTAACAGAATGTGTCAAACCAGAGCAACACAGTAACGTCCAAAAGCACACCTGCAATCCCGCTTCTACCCAGTCGAGAGTGGTAGTTTGGAAGAATTTTGTTGACTTGAACGAACGGAACAGGTACCTATAAGGACCACACATTGCAACGCATTTCCTTCTTCAAACTCAGAAAATTCTCCGCTCGTGAAGAATTGGAGTTATTCTGAACCTCTAAGGCCTAGACAATTTCGCTGAATGCGAGTGCATCAAGCTGAGCAGAAGGAGCTATTGCAGAAGATACAACCCAATTTTTTATTTGACCAAGTGTCCTCACGCTTACACCGTCCTTAAGAGGAGGTAACATTTAATACGAACCCGCTAAGAATGGTGAGTCTCTATGAGCGCTCCGCACTCCTACTACATGCAAACTGTAGCTTAGTAGCGGCGAAAAAGAGAGAAATACCGAGAGATATCTAAGGAAGGCATAAGAGGTTACGTAGTGCACTTTCTTGAACTGTGCACAATAAATCAAATGCCCATGGTAACCAGGATCAGATGACACATTTCTGGATTTCCAGACATGCCCGAAACGATGACTGCTACGCCGATTCTAAGAACTCCGATCAAGTCAGATATCGGAAAAGCCAGCAGTGGCATAAGCAATTCGAACCGGCGTATACTTTTTTTTGATAATAAGCAAGCTCCTTGATAATTCCGAAACAGAAATAAATAAGCGTTCCTCAATTATGCTGGGAACTCGTAGAAGAGGAAACCACTGCATTTCGTGTATTGCTAATGAGGACAAAATTACCGTACCTTCGCTTCTGAGGCTTAGGAGGACGATGCTTGAGTGCATTCAATACGAAGACCTTCAACAGCTTCTGATAAGATACACGTACTTTCACGGGCATTCCTGAAGTTTTGATTCACGTAAATACTGAACAATATTAGACCACGGATTTACTTTTCAAGAATACCTGCTGGGCAATGCTCGCGATACCAACTCTTCACTAGAGGAACATCAATGGTTCTTCGCGTACGACCAGAACGAATGTTGAAGGGGCGTGGCGCCCACAGTAGTGCTATTCCGTTACCAGTATTGTCAGTATACAGAGGAACCTATAATGCAAGCCAAAATAAATAAAAAAAATATAAAATGCGAAATTTCGAAAAACCTATACCTCCTCAAAAATGGGTACAACATCCTCGGGAAGCTCGAACTCGTTCATTTCATCGTCATCTGGCAGATTTTCCACAGTCTGTTAAAAAAACATGCTCGCAAAAGTAATAATGAATAAGAGATAATTGTAACGTCAAAAATCTAGGTTGGGATCGAACATTTTGTCAGAGACAAAAACCTACGTCCCAGCAGCTGCACTAGAGCAGTCACTTGGTTGCAAGCTATGACTCTTTTCACCAACCACGCCAATGACGTATATGCTTTAGCGCAATCATTCAGGGAAATGCCAATCCTTCAGGCAACACCCAACATATTTGCGCGTTTCCTCCAAAATGCCACATTTAATCACCTTGTCTAAACCACTGATCGCAATCGGATTAATCAAAGGGTCGAAGTAGAACGCTGGAAGATCAGGATCTTCTGTCTTGATGTACACTACGGACGGCGTATGATACCTAAACAGTTGCAATTAGGCTAAAACCTCAGAAAAAAATATGCAGGGTCAAGCATCTCTTGGGCAAAGTTAGTGCTTGTAAAAAGAGCATGTATTAGTGCAAGGGAAATTTCTTAGAAATTTGCAGAAAAAATACAAAACTTAAAAATTACTTTTTTCACATCCTATCAAATTATCTCATTTACTATCTACCATTATGGCTATTTCACTACATGATTAACACCTCTTCTACACTGAGGATCCCGCATGAAAATGGAACAGAAACCTTTCCAAGGGAAGGAGGTCAAGATCGTATAATTTGCCCAGCGTGATGGTTGACCCCGACAGCATATGTGAGAATTTTACCATGAAACTTGTACTGGCAGAGCATTCACGAGGTTATTGTACATGTACGGGAAGGCAATGCGATATTCTGTTCGAATAGGTGCTCTGATTATCACTTTGTTGATGTCGTTGAACTCATTCCAGTCTTCGTCGCTTAAATTAACGGATTGAATGAGCATTTCTGAAGATGAGTGGCACGAATAAACACAAACGTACAGATTGATATCCTTTATGAGAGGTTCAAATTTGGGTCCACCGGGAATTGCCACGTTGAGTGCTTTCGCAGTGAAAAATGACTTCAAGTCAAACAAATAGTAATAGTTGTGTCGCAGTTAGATCCAGTTAGAGTGATTTGCGAGACGGGTAATAGTGTGGCCATTATAGGAATACTGAAGGCCCTATCTCTGTATGTGGAGACATTAAACAAACCTAAAAAGCACGAATTTCAAGCTGGTCTCTTCCAGGCCCGTGCGCCAAAATTACCTGCTCAAAGTTGTCCAACTTGATTCTATTGATTAATTTTGAGCAGTGATCTACCAATCAGCCGCCAACATGTTACTTACTTCTTTCTCTATCAAAAGCTCAAGCTACAATAGCCAGCTCTTGCTTCTTTCAAAATGGTTGGACCTCATCCTCTCCGAGCCGCGATCATTCAATTACACCAGCTTGGTCGCTGTTCAAAAACCATCGCCAAAACTCTATCAATCAGCAGGAGAACTGTGGACTCCACTATCAAACGGTTTAAGGACCTCGGCTCTACGGAAGATCGCCCAGGGAGAGGAAGAAAAGCAACTGCAACTTCCGCGAGAAACGTCAAAGTTGTCCGAGATATGTGTGCGGAGGAATCCGAAGAGGTCGATGAGGAAGATCGCCAAAAAGCTGGGAATAAGTCATACATCAGTGCGTCGTATTGTTAAGGAAAAAGATGGCGTCTTAGACTCTTGATCGCATCGCCAAAAAGGTCCCCTTCTAACTGCATCTCTGAAGAGGAACCGGGATCCAGAAAACGCTGCAAGAAGGAATGCTCGGGTGACTCGTTCACGTCAGCGCAGCACCGCGGACATAGTCTGCTCTGAGGAAGTGTTCACGTTGGAGTCAACATTCAATCGTCAAAACGATCGGGTGCTCTGCAGAACAGCTGAAGAAGCCAACGAGAAAGGGAGAATTCATGAGCGATCTGGACATGCAGGGAAAATCATGGTTTGGGCAGCGATAACTTACGAAGCCAAGTCTCCACTGTTTTCATCGACAGATATCAAAATCAATACGAAGTTCTACTTGGAGCCGAAGCTCAGCGATGACTGAGCGCGAAAGGGAACGCTTCTTGGCTTGCCCGCTGCGACAATACGACTTCGGCTCCAGGCCGTTCGTGTTCCAGCAAGAGTGCAGCCACCAGCCATAGATCGAAGATGACTCAGCAGTGGTGCAAGGACAACCTCCCAGGCTTTATCACCGCTCAAGAATGGCCGTCCAACAGTCCTGATTTGAATCCAATGGATTATTCTGTGTGGTCGTTGTTGGAGAGCAAGGCCTGCTCTAAACAACACAACTCGATTGATTCACTTAAGAGGGATCTGCTCAGAGCATGGGAAGAAATTCCTTTGGAGTACCTCCGCGCCACAGTGGACGCCTTTCCCCTCACGTCTAGAGGCCTGTGTTCGAGCGCGAGGAGGGCATTTTGAGATCTGAACGTACGTTATGTAATGGCATTATGTAAATAAACTGTTGTAGAAAAATCAGTCCTCAATCTGTTATTTCACCGTTTTTACATCGGTGGATATTTGAGCACGTAATTTTGGCGCACCCTGTAGAATTCGGCTTCGAAGTATGTGGCACTCCACCTCCAGGAATCGGAGCGATGCACAACGCTACAACACGATTGACTCACCGTGTAGTGGCTAGGGGTTTGTGATCATAAAACCATTCAGCAACAGTTTGATCTTCTTCCGGATCTAACTCCATCTGGATAGGCTCTAGAGGCTCCACATCAAGGATGTTGTCTGCATAATCGAGTGGCGGCTCTTCGTCATCAAATGGAGGAAACCGCATACGCTGAACAGCAAGTTGGGATTGAAAGCAGAGTTGCTTACATCTAACTCAAAATTTAGTAATCGTATACGGCGGAATTTGTGCCATCGTCAGCTCACTCGGACGTAAGCTATCAACGGTGACCCTCTGTGGGGGCTCTATCGGCTGTAGCTCACTATGTCTTAGAATCAAAGACCCTTCCAGAGACCTGAATGCGCATCCTCTGCTTGCTGTGTAGTTCACCGCATCGCTTTACCTCATCACGAGACAGTGTAGTATTAGGCGTTGCATTCTCCAGTCATGAGAAATGCACAGAATTACTCGCGCCCGCAAAATTCCAAGCTCGAATAGCGAACTAGTTATCCGATTCACGTCCTTTCAAACCTCATATTCAATTCTTGCGATTAAGGCTATGGCACCACATTGTAAATATAGATTTCTATCAATTTCCAATCACAACGACTGTGTTAACCTTGAAATGGCGACGGTCTCGCTTTTCTCGTCTCATCATGATCCACATGGTTCCCCATTGCGCCAAGTAGACAGGCTCTATGACACGAGGGGTCTCATTGACGAACGAGATCGCTCCAGTGATATGATACAGCACCTAACAAATTTTCCTTGAAGAATGAATATACTTACAAAGAACTAAGTGAAGAAATCGACAAGGTAACCAGTAAAAAAACAAACCTTGACATCTCTTATCTGCTCCCATGGCATGGGCATATTTTCTAAGAGCTTGAGAACGGCATGAGGCATATACTTCAAAGCTCCAAGATAGACTCTTTTATCATGTCGGAATTTACGGGATGTCATATCGCCATGGTCACGAATTATCTTCCGCACATGTTCTGAAGCAAGACTTTAACTCTTGAAATAACGAACAGCTTGAGAAACAAAACAATGTGAACGAAAACCATAATTCGAATCGATTAGAACCTGGGGGCATCTCTTCCTTTTGCGTATCTACTACACCGAATTTCCTTTTCTCCGCATAGCGCTTTGATTGCAGTTGCTTCCATTTTCTAGCCTTAAATATCAGGCTTTCGAGTACAGTAAAAGATGTTACATTAGATTCAATTACCTTTTCTTCTAGAAGTTGCGTTGCAGTTGGTGGAGGAGGAGGTAGCTGAAAGTGGAGATGGAATATAAGCCACGTAGGAACAACATGAAGGAAACATACCTCTCCCGTGTCCATCGGCTCTACTGCTCCGTTACCAAATAGAGGTTCCATACCCTCCATAACTCTGAAAACCAATATTTTTCTCTCATCTAACTATATTCACAACTGTCGAATTCCATCCAAATCGTAAATGGATGAAAACTGCAAATAAAAAACTGGAAACTGTGTGTTTGTTTCATATGGTCCTACGGTTACCAATCATTACCCCTTCAAGAATTATTTACAATCTGCGATCTTAGCGAAACGTGGGATTCGTAGCAAGAAAGATATACGAAACGAAACGAACAAAAGAATTCGGCAGGTCAGCTATCTATCGCATCAAACTCCTCTTTTGTATGGAACGCGGAGATTGCTTGGGAATGGTATCTGTGACTTTTTCCCACACTTGAAGGCGTGGCCGCGGCCGCACCTTTAGATGTGAGAAGTCTAGGAGCCTTAGAAAGTGCGAAAAGCGTCACTATAAAGCTGGCGCATGAAGTACGTGGGAGGTACCTCTCTTGATACACCTGTAAAATAAGTTAAAACAAGC